GTAATCTATAAGGTCTAGAGATGTGATATTGACAATATAAAAGCATAATAGTATAATAGCTGGAGAGAAATTTATTTCGTAGCTTTCTTTGCTCTATTAGGAGGTAAAGTCCTGGAGAGATGAGATCAGCTCAGGAGAGAGTGATTGGCGTCCCTTGCATTTTTTTTTTTTTTTTTTTGCTTTTTGGGTCACACCCAGCTATGCTTAGGCTTCACTCCTGGCTCATGCACTCAGGAATTACTCTTGGCGGTGCTCAGGGAACCATATGGGATGCTGGGAATTGAACCCTGGTCAGCCATGTGCAAGGCAAACGCCCTACCGCTGTGTTATTGCTCCAGCCCTGGTGTCCCTTGCTTTGTAGAGGTCTTTCGTTTTCCATCAGACACTGGTGTGGAGCGATAGCACAGTGGGTAGGGCGTTTGCCTTACAAGCGGCCAACATAGCCGACCCGAGTTCGATTCCTCCGCCCCTCTCGGACAGCCCGGCAAGCTACCGAGAGTATTCGATATGCCAGACACAGTAACAACAAAGTCTCCAATGGAGATGTTACTGGGCCCGCTCGAGCAAATCGACGATCAACGGGAGGGCCTTTACCTTTTACCTTTTACTGGTGTGGAACTGGGAAGTTTCCTTAATAATTGTAATTGCTCTTCCATAGGAATTGAGGAATTGATGTCAATGTGACTATGATGTATTTTATGCTCCAAATTTTTGAGAAAAGCTTGTTGAACTTGTACCTTTCTCCTTCCTCCCCATGTGATGTGTTTCTGGGGACCTAACCCCTGGCTTCACATATCCAAGGCACCTGTTCTCCTATTCTAATCATGGAACTATATTCCTAGCCAGGCTTGACCTTAGATTAGTGTTTGATGAACACTTGAGATCTTTTTGAAATTTAACCATTTAAAGTTTCAGCTTGTTCAGGACCTTATCACCTTGTCATCTGACTGAGGAATATTGATAATATTCCATAGATATGGAAAATAATGGATGTTGGTATAGCCAAGGGCTTTGTTGATTAATTTTAGTAATTTTTCACATGTGCATATAATCTATGGGAAATCTTACTATGTTTAGGGGGCGTATTGCTATCAAGTGTTTATGACATGTAATAATCTCTTCACATTTGTCTTCTCATTGGATTGTGAGCTGGCAGGGCCTAATGGTCAGTGGGCTTTTAGTAAATAACTGAGTGAATAAACAAATGGACAAAAGGTGTCAGCAGTGCTGGCAAATATTAAAGAGTAAGCATGCATGGCGAATATGTATCATTGCTAGAGAGAACTTTAGAAGCATCTCATTTTGCAGCTCTATTTACTAGATGAGGTGGAGTTGCAGAAAAACTGAGCGATTAGATCATGACAGAGGTTTCTCATCCTATTTATAAAACAGTTACCATTTTTGTGATGTCAGCACTTTGATTTATGCTAACTTGTAATGCCTTGCCTGGAGTAGACCAGACTAAGTTTTGCTGAACGAATGATGGTTGCTTGGAATATAGCATAATCTTTTTTTTTTTTTTTTTTTTTTTTTTTTTTGCTTTTTGCTTTTCGGATCACACCCGGCAATGCACAGGGGTTACTCCTAGCTCTGCATTCAGGAATTACTCCTCACAGTGCTCAGGGACCATATGGGATGCTGGGAATCGAGCCCGGTCGGCTGTGTGCAAGGCAAATGCCCTACTTCTATACTATTGCTCTAGCCCCTATAGCATAACCTTTTGAGGTGGAGTTAAAAAATTTCAAGTAAAAGCTATATTTAGAATAAGGTTCAATTAAAAGATTCTATTTGGAATTGAATCACTTAGGTTTTTGTTTAAGAAAACAGAAGCAATATGACACATAAAAAATATCAGGAATCTTGTGAGAAGAGTTAGATGTGCTGGGTATAACAAAAGGCTATTAGATTCAATTTCTACGTCCCTTCAGATCTGTAGGACTAGCAATAGTGTCTACAAGTGGGAGACCTTGTAAGAAATGGGTAAACTTGGTCAGTGTTTGCTCCCTTTTATTTTACTGAGAAGGAGATGATGGTCCTTTTTGTCTCTTCCCCACTTGCAGGATACAATTTATTTATTTTTGTTTTTTGGATCACACCTGGCAGTGCTCAAGGGCTGTTCCCAGTTCTGTGCTCAAGGGCTGCTCCCAGTTCTGTGCTCAAGGGTTGCTTCCCAAAGTGCTCAAGGAACCATGCAGTGTGGGGGATAGGACTTGTTTTCCATCTAGGCCTCCTGTTAGTAACGCATATACTTGGTGAACTATTTCTCTAACCCCACGTTGCAAGTTTTAAAATGTCTTTCTGTCAAAACAGGAAACAATTTGATTTTACTCTTTTACACAAAACAAAGGAACAGCTTTGCACTGACTTCATGTTTAATTCTATTGATTAATTCCTACTTTGCCAAACTCCTAATAGAACATTTACAAATGTGAAAAGGAGAATCCTTCCTTCCTTCCTTCCTTCCTTCCTTCCTTCCTTCCTTCCTTCCTTCTTCCCTCCCTCCCTCCCTCCCTCCCTCCCTTCCTTCATGTATCTGGAGGGGAAGCTGAGGAAATGCTGAAATGATAAAATAACATAACCTTGGTTTTCCCTTTACACTTATGTAGTGCATGTTTCTAGTGGCTACGGTATTGGAGAATGTAATTCAATTTAAGGATGAAGTGTATTATTTAAGTTACTTTTCCCTATAAGCACCTTAACCCTTGTGCTATCATTCTGGCCCAAGTTTAGTATTCTTACAGAAGGCAGGTGATTAGTGACAGAATCAACGTATTATAACAACAGATTTATGGTTGTACAGTTGAGTAGCAGACATCCCTGGATCAAATGAATTTCTCAAAATAAATGTCTTTTGTGAGATTTTTAAAAGAAGCTTGTTGCTATTTAGTAAATATATGAGCTATGTTAAATTGAACTTGATTGAACCTTGAGGAGTAAGATACTCATACTAAAGACTCATTTGTTGAAGTTTTAAGTGGTGTAAGGTATAGTCCCTGAGTCAGAGACTTACACTGTAGTTGGGTAGATAGCTCTATATTGAAAAAGATAATTTGGAGTAGCAGTGTAGCACTGTCCTCCCGTTGTTCATCGAGTTGCTCAAGCGGGCACCAGTAACATCTCCATTGTGAGACTTGTTACAGTTTTTGGCATATCGAATATGCCATGGGGAGCTTGCCAGGCTTTGCTGTGCGGGCAGGATACTCTTGGTAGCCTGCTGGGCTCTCTAAGAGGGTTGGAGGAATTGAACCCGAGCCAGCTGTGTGCAAGAGAAAACACCCTACCTGCTATGCTATCGCTCCAGCCCAATTCGGAATATATGATACTATATGTATTGGGCCAAGTATGGGCCAGCTGGTGTGTTTTAGAAACTTTTGTTGTTGTTTGGGCCATACCCGACAATGCTCAGGGGTTACTCCTGGCTCTGCACTCAGGAATCACTCCTGGTAGTGCTTGGGGGACCATATGGAGTGCCAGGGATTGAACGTGGGTCAGCCATGTGATCGGCAGCACTCCACCCACTGTAGTACCTCGCTAGCCCCAGTTTTGGAAACTGAGAGAAGGATCGTCTTTCATAAGGGTCATTGGAAAGGTTTTATGGAGAAAGTAAAATTTGCATTAACTTTTGAAGGAGCTAGAAAAAAAGGATAAGGGTGTAGTCCAGGCCCAGAGGTTAATGTGAACAAAGGCTTGGAGTAAGAAAATGCATGGAGTCTAGGGGAATAAGGATTGGACAAGTTTGTTGCAATGAAGATTGTCTGTAGGACCTACGAGGAGATCAGGTCAGCCTGGGTATGCAAGGCTTGGATTGGTAGACCAAGAAAGGAATAAGGGGCAATTAAACATTTTTTGAATAGTAGAAGGATCTGTGACAAGTGAGACTTTATGAAAGTGTTAATCATAAATATAGGATGGAATATAGAATGACTGGAGAGCATTTATTTATTTATTTATCTTTGCTTTTTTTTGGTCACACCTGGCGCTGCACAGAGATTACTCCTGGCTCTGCACTCAGCAATTACTCCTGGCGGTGTTCAGGGGACCATATAGGATGCTGGGAATCCAATCCGGGTCAGCTGTCTGCTAGACAAGCGCCCCACCCACTGTGTTATCACTCCAGCCCCAGGGAGAGAGAATTTAAATAGTAAATTTGGAAGATAAAGGTCTGGACTTTTGTTGCCAAAGTAGAAATTAGGAAACAAAGAGGATGACTTGGAGCAGTAGCTTTTTTGGGATAGAAGAGATATTTTTTTTTCCATTGAGAAGTTCCATGACTTGGTGATTAGAGAGAAGCAAAACGTTTTGACTCTGGAATACTCATTTGAAGAGAATACTGATGAGTTTAGACATTGGATTTCAGGTGACAGAGCAGGACCTGGAGAGATGAGGTCCAAGAGGGAGTTAAAGGAGGAAAAAAGTGATGCCAGGCCTCCAGGGTTGGACCCATTTCTTTTACAGGCTGTTCTCAGTTATATGTATAACAATAGGCAAGAGAGATGTAGGTTGATGACTAACCTAAAAGGTGAAGAAAGTGTTGGAGAGAGATGCGCCCATGTTCACGCAGAGCGAAGCTGAAAACGATCACTGGATTGACAGTTGAGACTTGAAACCGCTGTTTGAATATGTTCATCGGAATTAGAGCCCTGAGTAGAGGAGCTTTATGACTAAGTTAGTAATAAGGAGATGAAACCAGAAAGCACAGATGTATTCATGTTGGTTCTTTCATTACTTGCTTTTCTATTCTGTTACTGTCTCAGTAGGGAAGGGGAAACGAAGTTAAATCTTGAAACTTTTCACTTTGTTCCACTTAAGAGACAAGTTATAGTCTCTGGGAGGTCGTTATTATAGGATGAAACTGCAGTAGTTTACTATGAGTCATTTATAAGCTGAACTTTATTCCTGAACATAGTTGAAAATTGATAACAACTCTAATGAAGATAAAAATGAGCATTGACATTACTGGAAGTTATATTTATACTAAATCCTGTTTTTTAAAATCTCAGTTTCTATGCAGATTTTGGACCTCTGAACTTGGCAATGGTGTACAGATACTGCTGTAAACTAAATAAGAAACTAAAAGTGAGTATCGTGCAGTGTTAATGTTTCCGTACTAAGAATTTGAACTGTGAAACCTGACCAGCAGGATGGCTGTGCACGTACCATTTACTTAGGTAATTTTCACCTCTGGAAATTTATGTGAGTAGTTCACCTAGGAGAGTTGAAATTGATCCACCTGACCGACCCACAAAGGACACATTAACCTCTTTTCATTTTTCAGATGAATTGAAATGTGAGCTAAGTGAAGTCATTGGAATAGTGATCTAAGAAAGAAAGCACAAATCCTTTCAGGTTGTTGTTAATGAGTCTCTTATCAAATTCCCTCCGGGATGATTTTTCTGAAAGCATCAGGTCTGCCTTGAGATTCTGTTTTCAGGCAATGAAAGGGCTCATCATTGCTCAGCAGGCGTGCTGGAGCATAAGCATTTTATGTCTGATCAAGATTGAAGTTTTTGTGCATTTCTTGAATATCATCTCTGTGGTTTTCACAACCAAATGACAGGAATGGAGACTAGGGGAGCTAAAGCATGAACTTTACATATGGCAGAATCAGGCTATACATTCATATAAAAGGTAAAAAGGTAAAGGCCCTCCCGTTGATCGTCGATTTGCTCGAGCGGGCCCAGAAACGTCTCCATTGGAGACTTTTGTTGTTACTGTGTCTGGCATATCGAATACTCTTGGTAGCTTGCCGGGCTCTCCGAGAGGGGCGGAGGAATCGAACTCGGGTTGGCCATGTTGGCCGCCTGTAAGGCGAACGCCATTCATATATATATATTTTTTATTTTTTAATTTTTGCTTTTTTGAGTCACACCCGGTGATGCTCAGAGGTGACTCCTGACTCTGTATTCAGTAATTACTCCTGGCGGTGCTCAGGGGACCATATGGGATGCCGGGGAATGAACCCAGGTTGGCCGTCTGCAAGGCAAACGCCCTCCCCACTGGACTGTCAAACTGGCCCCTGTTTTTCTCCTTTAACGGGAGATCTATTTCCATTTTCTGTACTTATTATCCACACTTGGTGGTGCTCAGAGGTTACTCCTGGCTCTGCACTCAGGAATCACTCCTGGAAGTGCTCAGGGGACCTTATCCCATGCTAGATTTTGAATGAGGTCAGCCGCATGCAAAGCAAGTGCCTCACCCCCTATGCTGTCACTCCAGCTTTGGATAGGTAGCGCCCACCCTTCTCCTGATTTAAACACTAAGCATATGTGAGGAAACTTCTTGCCTTACATAAAAATAATGGATCTCTATTCTCTGTTTTGCTTAGTGAGTAGCGTCAATGTGTTTCTGTCATGAAGGTGAAATGCTATGAATCACACTCCTAGCAGTAATAGTTAACAGACAGTGTTAGGGTAGCTTTTTCTTTTTGCTAGGTAAGGTGTTACTGAAATGACATAGGACTATCATATACACTTTAGCTGCTGAGTGATAATTGTTTGATTTTATTGATTTTGTATTAAATTTTGGTTTACAGTCTCTCTGTGATGGAGAACTTTCTGTAGAATATGCTGTATAAATATGATTTCAATCAGTTTTTGTTATTAATCTCAAAATGCTAAATTCTACCAAAGGGTTTTTTTTTTTTTTTTTGGTTTGGGGGTCACACCTGATGGTACACAGGGCATACCTGCACTCAGGAATCACTTTTGGTAGACTCAGACATGTGGGTTCCAGGGATTGATTTCCTATCTTGACTATGTGCAAAACAAGTGCCCTACCCACTATACTGTCTCTCTGTGGCCACCTCCTTCCCCCATGGTATTTTAAAGGTCAATTATGTAAGATCTGTTACAATACACTTTTTTAGGAATTAACCTGTGTTTTCAGATTTAAAAAGATGTGGTAACTTTTTTTTTTAACTAAAGTGATCTACATTTTTCAGAAAAAAGCTATTTCCCTGAGGTTTTAGAAGATAATGTTGAAATTTCGAATTTACTAAATAAATAATATCCTTAAAACAAATTTTGTAACAAAATGCTAAGTGTATCTTAATGGATGAATTAATGGGGAAAGAAGAATTAATAAGGAATTAAGTTTAATTTCTTCCTTTGATAGACTTAGTTTATTTGCCTCCTTTATTAGTGTTCCATTAATATGTAGTTGCTATCAATGTGATATTATTATTATCAACTACTTAGATTTCAGTTTGAGTGAGGGAAGAAAAAGGAGTTAAAGGAAAAATTCTGGTGTGACTCAGTGTTCTTAGGAGTAGATGGTGAAATTTGCATTTACTTTCATTTACAAAACTTCTTTTCACTCTTATGAAAGTTTAATAAATTCTGGACAGTTCCCTCTTCTCATTTCAGTGATAAGGTAATGTTTGGATGCCTGGAATTATACTGTTAATACAATTAATTAGAGTAATCTTGTGTTTTGTTTTGTTTTGTTTGTTTGTTTGATTTTTGGGCCACACCTGGTAGTGCTCAGGGTTTATTCCTCTCTCTGCATTCCAGGATCACTTCTTATGGTGCTCAGGGAACCATATAGGGTGCCTAGTTTGGGTGTGTGCAAGACAAGTGCCCTATCTGCTATAATATACTTTCAGCCCCTAATGGGCATCTTTTACTTGTTAAAGGAATGAAATTCCAAAGCCAAAATGCTAATAGGTTAGAGATTATTTTGATAAAGCATACCATATAGTATTTCAATATTAGGATAAATAGGTTTACCAATTATTAACAATTCAAAGCTGTAATTTCTTAAACTTTGTGGAATCTCAGCTTCTTCAACTTTAGGATGATAGACCTCTCAGAGTGGAGATTGAGATTAGAATTATTTAAGAGAATGTATGGAAAAAAATTTTTGCAAAGTTAAAAATTTTTTTTTTTTTGGTGGGGTATTGTGCTGTACCCAGAAGTATCAGGGGTATTTCTAGTTCTGTGCTCAGGAATGAATCCTAGTGCTGTTTGGGGGATTGGGGGGTGGGGGTGATGGTGGTCATGACCATATATAGTACTCAGGGATTTGAACTAGGTTGACTGCATGCAAGGCAAGTGCCTTACATCTTGTACTATTTCACTGGCCCTGAACTTTGTGAAATTTTAAGTTCAGTTTACTAAAGTAACATTTATTAATTCAACTGAAAACATAATAGGGTTCTTCAACAAAGATTTTGAGTATTTTCCCAGCCAGATACCTGTTATCTCCATGTGAGAAAGCTGTCTGATAGAATTTCCTAAAATCTAAACAACTATTTAGTACAGCCTCCTGATTTTTTTCAGACATACTTCAGTTTTTTGGGGGGGGTCACACCCAGCAATACTCAGGGGTTGTTCCTGGCTTTGCACTCAGGAATTATTCCTGGTAGTGCTGGGGAACCATATGGGATGCCAGGGATTGAACCTGGGTCAGCCACCTGCTGTACTATTACTTGAGCGGCCCCCTTCAATTTTAAATGTTAATATTTTGTAGTTTTATATTGTGGTAATTGGAGAGCCTGGCAAGTTACCGAAAGTATTCAATATGCCAAGCATAGTAACAAGAAGTCTCACAATGGAGACGTTACTGGGCCTACTCGAGCAAATCGATGAACACGGGAGGACAGTGTTTTTTTTTTTTGTGTTTATATTGAGGTAATATTTGTGCTATAGTGTATAGTAACAAGAAGTCTCACAATGGAGACGTTACTGGGCCTACTCGAGCAAATCGATGAACAACGGGAGGACAGTGTTTGTTTTTTTGTGTTTATATTGAGGTAATATTTGTGCTATAGTGTATGTTTCAGGAATGCCTTTCAGCTGATCAGAAGTCAGTTGTTGCATACCACACTCATTACCAAAGCATGGAAATCCTTCCCTGCCATCTGTGGGACTTTCTCCACTGTTTGTGCCTTCCCTACCCTCCCACTCTGGCAGCCTCTGTTCTGAGATCCAAATCCAGGAGTTGGTTTTGGATTAGTTTTCTCTTCCCTTCCTTTTTGTTTCTTTATATCCCACATATAAGTAGATCATCAGATTATTTTTCTTTCTCTTTCTGAGTCATTCCACTTTATATTATACCTTTCCAACTTCCAACTCCATTATTATTGTTGGAAATGGAAAATATATATATATATATATAAATAGTTGGTTGTAAGAACAAGGTCTTGCCATTTACAACAAAAATCATTTGGAGGATGTGGGGAAAGGAGTTTTGGGTCTCAGCAGTGTTCAGGGGACTGACCTTAGACTCAGGAGTGACCCCTGGTGGTGTGGGGGATAGAACCATGGTTGTGGCTGTCCAGTATCTTTCCTCTTCTACTATCTTTATGGCCCCTATACCACGTTTTCTTTATCCACTCATTTATCATTAGGCACTTGGGTTATTTGCGTATCTTGGCTGTGTATATAGTGCTTTAATAAGCACAAGAACGCATACATTCTTTTGAATTAGTATTTTTGTATTTGTTAGATTCTTAGTGGAATCGATTGACGGATATTTTTTAGCACCTTAAGAAACCTTAGTACTGGGCCTGCAGAGATAGTGCAGTGGGTAGGGCACATGCCTTGTATGCATCCAACTCAGCTTCAATCCTGGCCTCCCATATGTTCCCGTGAGCACTGCTGGGAGTAATTCCTGGGTGCAGATCTAGGAGTTACCCCTAAGAGCCCCTGTCCCTCCCTCCTAAAAAAAAAAGAAACTGTAGAACTTATTTCAAAATTGTCTAGCCTCCTGATTTTAAAGATGCAGAAAGAGAGACGAGAGAACCATGTGAGTACTCAAGGTTGCAAGGACATGTTAGGGTCTGGGTCTCACAGCTCTTGGTTGCGTTATTTCCCACTGTCCTCCATTGGTGGTAACCTCTGGTTTGTAATCCTTTCATGTGCCCTGTCACTGCACTGATGTTAGGAATTTCACTCTGGCCTAGTGGCCTTCAGTTATTTCTGTTTCTTGGCTCCTCTGTTTCTCTTGATTGTTACTGCCACTCTAACTGCTTTGCTTTCGGAGACCCAGCGATCAGGTTTTCCTACTTTGAATGCACTCTTCTTGTTATACTTCCCACATTGTCTCTCTCACCATCACATAACATCTAGACCTTC